GTCAGTCTGAGTATGTTCAGCACTAAAGCCTGGCTGTTTTGGTGAAACCTGTTGAGCTCTTCATGAGGGAGAGGAACTTCAGGAAGGAAGGAAGCTGCTCACCCAGAGGAGGAATCTTCAATACAAGACATATTAAAACCTTAACACCCAAGAGGAGACTTCTTAAGAGGCAGAAGTTTCTTGTTAATGACTACTGCAGATGCACTGATGTTAAATTTATGGAAATTATTTTACCCTATGTTATATACAGATTTAAATTTTTAATATTGAGACAGCTTGAATATATTTGTAATGAGTTTCATTAAGACATTTATTAACTTGTGTACAGTGAGAAAATACATATTAAGAGAATATTTTGGTAAGTAATATATATAAAAATTTGTAAAAAAATAGAATATATTTTAATTTAGTGTTCATTTCTTTGCTACAAAAATGTGTATTAAAGAATTTTTATGTGTTTATCAAAGATGATTTTTTTTTATGAACAAGACGTTTTTCTTGTTTTATCAGTCCATCACTATTGCTAAAAGCCTAATGTAATTACTTTTTCACTAATTGGTCTTCTAGTAACTTAATGGAAGTCTAACTAGTGAGAGACTAGTTATCACACTATCAAATGAAAGCACTTGATACATAGTTTGCTTTCCACTTTCAGCTGCTAATGTTTCATAAGGAAACACTATGAAAGAAAAATAAAGGGAAAATATTTGTTGAGGTGTAATGTAACTTACATGTTCCATTGCAAAGAGTAATTTACTGGATTATTCAGTTGTACAATTAACACTTTCTTTCCATTTGTCTTAAAGGAATGTTTTAACTTTTTTCTTTTCAATGTCGAATATTAAATTTTGCTATGCAATATATACTGCAAAAATGAAGGCAGACCAAACTTAAGTTGGTAAGAATGTGTATGTACAACGAATTTGGCAGTGCTGCATACTTACATGTTTTTGACCTACATTTGGCAGTATCTGTAAGTGTACTGAAGTAAACATTGGAATATATGAAATTTTCACTTATCAATTGGATACTTCATAAACTTTTTTATTTGAGAACTGTTGTTAAACATACAGCTAATATAACCTCCTGTATCACAGAATGCTTTTATCAGTAGTAGAGACGCTCATTAACATATAGTTTAATGAGGTGTGATTAGGAATGAGATTCAGAATGAAGTGGCATTACAGTGAAGTAGTAGAGATCACATGTAAAATTTTCAGAACTCCACAAGTGTATAGTAAGCAAAAAAATGTAAGCAGCTGTAAAGACTTGATTTGTCACTAATTTAGAAGACAAAAATAAAACAAATCTATTACCTATGAGTTTTTCTGGTATATATGGAAGCTTGAAAATAAAACTTAGTCGAATTGTCAGTCTTTGTTCCTGAAGACCTGTGAATGTCCTGCATTTGCTTTACAACTGAAGTTAAGATAAAGCGCCACTTAATTTTTTACAAATACGAGATCACAAATTGCTACAGAAAGTTGTACTGAAAGTGTTAATAAGCAATACTAAGAGCAGCTATATAAATTACTGAATAAAATTTACATGCAATAGTGTACTTTTTTCACAACTGTGTATACGTAACACACACACATGATGTAGCATATGTGTGTGTGTATATATACTATATACTGTATATGAATTATAGATTAATGGTAAGGTAATTCTACCTCTTATAAAGAATTTTGTCATGTACTTTGTTATAAATAGTTTCCCTAATAAAATATTGTTTAATTTTGAAATGCATATATATATATACATATACAGCTAATTGATAATAAAATGCCTATATCAGCTAACTTCCTTGTTTCTTGGCTTTTCTTACTTAGATCTTTTGATGTAAACTAATATGGTTAGATCTCTAGTTGAAGAGCAGCTCTTCAAAATCCCCTTCTTTCTTCTAAAGCATGTAATGTATTTATAAATAATATGACATTGCAAAAAGACATTAGTATAACTGATCTCTCTAGCTAACCTTCTCGTATTTGCTTGGTATAACATCAAGTATTTAATCAATGTGTTGATATTATAATGTAAAGGCTGTATTTCAAAATACCATAATTTAAAAGAATTTAAGAAACTTCTTTTTCCTGGACAAGAACCCTTGTTAAAGGTGTAATATACCTTGTCTTTTTTGCATGCGCAGCAGGTTTCTTGGTCTCACTAACAGCAGGGTCTTTGCCTGTAAGAACCCAAAAGATCATGCTTTCATTTAGCTTTTTATCCTTCCTTCAATTAAAAACTAGCCACAAACGGTTCTGACATTAACTCTGCTGCTGATTTTCAGCAAATATGCTTTTTTGCATGATTATTTATCCATGGTGCTTAATATTCCTGTCAGGTAAGTCTGTACTGCAATAGATGATGTGGACAGCATGTAACTGTTACACAGCTGCTCTAGAGGAATGGCGAAGCCAAGAATAGAGTGGATGCTTTAGAAGTTGCCCAAATTCTAGTGACAGTCTAAACCTAAAAACACTTCTGCCACTACATTCAGACAATTAATGGATGTTGATTTGTATGTGTACAGTAAATATAAAGGAATAACAGCTAATTTAAAAGTTTCTAGTATGCAGGCATCAACCTTTCCCTTGGCCTTCTTCTAGACTTAGAATCATAGAATGGTTTGGGTTGGAAGGGACCTTTAAAGGTCATCTAGTCCAACGCGCTTGCAATGAGCAGGGACTTAAATCCTGATTTATTATATGAAATACAGTAAATGTCAGCTAATGTACAACATATTTTTTGTTCTTAAAAATGAACGATAAATATAGCCAGTATTCTGTAACAATCAGCTTCTTAACAACATCAAATTTGGGGACAGTGGAAGGTCAGGGAGGTCTTTAGAACCTTGTAACTTTTAGGAAATACCCTGAAATTTTGTTTCATATCCTCTGTTCACATATCCTTGACCTTCACCATTTCTATTGCTTCATATATAAATATATGTCATTGTTCTGGGAGAACAAGCTGTAGCACATTAGATCTTTAAAAAGAGGTTTGATAAACATGTAAGGATGCATTAACTAAATCTAGAGGTCTCTACTGGGCTTATGATTGTTTAGCTAATGCCTTATGAAACTGTTAATCATCTCTATGCTTTATGAAGCTTTTTGGTTAGGGAGATATTTCTTGTTACAGATTTAGAGAATATTTTTCAATTGCAGTACTGCAGAAAGAGGAGGATTTTAGTTTCTATAATAACTGTTCTCTGCTGACAGCTAAACAATGAAAGGCCTCAAAAGGTTTGACACTTGATTAGATCTACATGGTAAAGTGTGGCAGGCAAAAAATATGGTAATTAAGGGCCTGATCAAATAAATCACTCAGGTGTGTCTTTAACCTTAAGCACCTGAGCAATCTACAGTCTAAAACAGAACATAGATATTCATGTTTGTAACAAATCCACAGAGCAATAGTCCTGTCAATTGCAAACGAGAGCCTTTCTGTCAAATAAAAAATGTGCCATGTTACAACAAAATAATCCATTGACTTGCACAAATTAACTTAATTATCTTAAAGAATTTATATTGTAACTATAATTACATCCTAATATTATTTTAGTATTGCCATTTGTTAGCATAGTGAGTTTAACAATATCTAAGAACACCTTATAAAGATATCTTTGGTCAACATACAGGTCATACCTTAGGAGCTGAGATTGCTTACTTCTGTAGCCCACATATAACCCACCTGTGAAAGCAGTTTTTCTCCTGACCTCACCACAAAATCAATCAGCATTACTTTTATGGAAAGCTTCTGAGAGGAAATGTAAGTTCTTTTACTCAGTTTCTTATTAAATCTTGTCCAGGGTAAGGGCAGTTAACATTTTGTCCCTGTTTGAGTAAAGCACTGTAAAGTTCCTTGGAGAATCCCACTACTAACTCCTGTATTCAGGAAGGGACTATTAAGCCCTACTCTTCATCCAGCTTTTAGTCCATCTACGAACCTGTCATTCAGCTCTGTGGGAAGCTGCGTTCTGAATTAATTTGGTGTGAGACCTTTTCAAATGCTACACTGATTCCATTTTAGCTGTGTACTTAACTGACACTGCCATTCACTTCCGGCAGGGTTGGTGAAGCAGGGTTGGTGAAGCAGGGTTTCCTGCAGGCTGAGTTTCATGAAGAAATGTAGAATATGTAGACTGATGACCGTCTTCCTCAAAAAAGGACTGTCAAGGATCTGTGTATCATGTTTGAATGATGTAATTTGGAAAGTATATTGTAATTATAGACCAGTTCTAAAATTAATCTTGCAGAAGCATAGCATGCTTTCTCTTAATAAAAACAAGATCAGAAAAAAGCAGTTTAAATGAATATCTAGCAGAGGAGTTTCTACAGTAAATGGATTGTATTTCAGACAGAAGTGACTGACACCAGTTTGAAAGCTTGCTGCAAATGAAAGTTGTGTAAATGGGTTAGAACCAGGAAACCGGTAAGGCAAAGAGAAAAAGAGTCAGACTGTAGTTGCAGTATTTCTAGAGCATGACAGGGTTTGTTTTTTTTTTTTTTCTTCTTGATTTAACAAGTTGAAAATCTGCTGAATAATTCATGAAGAGTGGAAGGGCTGAATCTTCCTGTAATGATATACAGTGTACATACTGTGGCACAGGAGAAACTGCAAAGCTTTGTATCGGTTGCTGCTGTTTCTGCTGCTGATTGCAAGGTGCTGCTGCTTTTGGCATTGTCACAGCTACAGAATCCTCCGTTGTGCTCTGGGCTGCTAACAGCTATCTGCTCCCTATGGACCCACCTTCACTAGCTACAATCTGTGGGATCCCTTGCTACCTACTCACCTTGGATGCTGCTGTAGTCTGGATTGTTACTGCGACCAGCATTTTCTGGACCTTGCAGCTTGTATGACTGAAACCTGCCTTAGAGTCCCGCAGCTGCACATCCTCCCTTGTGCTTGGTGGGGGACTCCTGCAGCAGCGCCTTGTGACCCAGACAAGCATGGGATTTACAGGGTGAAGTCAAAACTGAACTGCATTCAGCGAGATGCCCAACGCCTCTTCCTGGACTGCTACCTCGCCTCTGCTGCTGCTCTGGGAGGACTCCTCCGGGACCCGCATCTTCCTGTCACTGCTCTATGCAGTCTTGGCTATCTCAGGGACTTTATCCAATGTGATGGTCATCTATTTAGTCTTCTCCTTCAAGAAGCTGCAGACAACTAGTAATGCCTTCATTGTGAACGGCTGCACGGCAGACCTGAGTGTGTGTGCCCTGTGGATGCCCCAGGAGGCTGTGCTGGGGCTGCTGCCTCCCAACTCCTCCTCCCTTCGCTCAGTGGAGTACCAGCTGCTCCGAGGGGGGCTCCTCGGCCTCGGCCTCACCGTCTCCCTGGCCTCTCACCTGCTGGTGGCCTTCAACAGGTACGTGCTCATCACCAAGCTGCCCAGCGTGTACCAGGCCCTTTACCAGCGGAGGCACACGGGCTGCATGATCGGGCTCTCCTGGGCCCTTGCCTTGCTCCTGGCCCCGCTGCTGCCCGGGCTCTGGACCCTGGGCTCTGCCCAGCAGCCGCCCCTGTGGCACACGGACAGCAGCTCTCGCTACACCGCCCTGCTCCTCGCCCTTGCCGTGCTGGGCCAGACCGCGCTGCTGCTCCACTGCTACCTCGGCATCGTGCGGCGGGTGCGGGGCAGCGCCAAGCGGGTCAGCGTCCTCAA